AATGATGTAAATGAAGTGCACTTGGAAATATATGGGAAATCTTTAAGCCCATGTACATGGTGTAGTTCAGAGGTATATGTGTGTAAACATCCAATATGAACTAGTAATAATCCGAATGACAAACAATTTCTACAAAAACATAAAAATATATAAAATCTGTCTCTGACGTTAAGTATAGTACAAAGCGTGCAATGATATATTTGTAAGATCATGCCTTTTGTTTGGCGCTAACAATGAGTTGATTTATCAAACAACGTAGAAATACTGGAATGCTCTTTTTATAAATAAGTTGTGAAAAGCCAATTATGTTAGGACAACATTGAAAAGGAAATACACTTTTAGATGAAAATAGCATCAATGAAGACAGCGTGTGTAGAGGAGACTCGTTTAAAGAAATTCTTCATGAAAGTACTCAATGGTCGATAAATGTCCTTTTAGGATAGATATTTTATTCTACATAATCTTAAATGCTGTTCCGTAAATATATATGTATATTTTTTTCTATATATATCTAACCATTGTTCCTTATACATTTTATAGGGAAGGATGAAATTCATGTACAAAACAGCTGTCAGTGTATCACATATAAAAACGGATATGATTATACGTCATTCTCTGTTATACTGACTAATTATTTCATAATTTAGGAGTTAATGTATTTAATTTTGTTGAACAATTTAAAATAATTTTGCTATAATCATTTTGAGCCAAACTGCTCTTTTACTCCTTTTTACTATATATAAATACATGTATGATAAGAATAATAAAATATCAAAACTATTAACCATGATGGAAGAAATAAAATGGTGATATAATATTTCTTTATTAAAACTACTCATCGTAGATAAGTTGCAAGAAAACAACAAAGAACCGATTCGTTTGGTATTTAATGATATAATTATTACTTCGTTCATTTCGATAACTTTAAGTACAATTGTGGTCATGTAAAGGATTGAAGGATGAACTACTACTTCCTTACATTACAAAAGCGGACATGGGCTTTTACCGTGTTATCTGAATGCGCACTTGTGCATTAAGGTGAGAGGACAATATTTACACTGTGGTTGCTTACATTTCTTAAATAACTCTTTGTTTTCTTTATTATATGGCTGCTTCAATCATGAAGGATTTCTTTATTTGCAGACGGTCTTCGTGCTCATTTTATGATGTTCCTTTATAAAAAATATGTATAATACAAATAACAAATCTGTGGCGTTATAGTAAGCATTACGTGCCTGAAAAAAAAATAGAATTGTGGGTTATAGTGGGCAAAACGTGGTTGAAAAAAAGTCATTTTACTTGTCAAGAGAGCGGTGGTCTAATGGTAAAAGTGAATTCCTCATAATCTCGGGTTAATGACACATGACACAAGTAGTTGCTAGTTCTATGAAGAAGATTTAAGCTGAAATTAATTTGTTTAAACTGCATATACTACATATATTTTTACGCTCCATATTGTTTTGGCAACTTTTTTTCATTAATTATTCCATTGTGTTGTCAATATGTCAATAACGTAGTGAATTACGGTTATTACCTTTAAACATTTGATTTACATGTATACTTTAATTCTTATATTTAAGTACAAACATTAATGGTCAATTGTGTTTCTTTTTAAGTATATAATCGTGAAAACGTAATATTAATTCATAGTCAAAGAAAATCACTTTGCAGATTAAATACAAACTTGCTTATTGGACAACATTAAATTTGTGCACCTATCTGCCAATAGTTTACGTTTTGACGTCGTTTTTCATTTTACTTTTACGAACAAATAATTGATACCATATATAGATTTTTTTTAAAAAGATGTTTAATTTCTTTTGCAATATTGAATTTAATTAAAATAATAATATCGAGTGCTTTAGATTGGAGATATTAACAATTTCACATTTATGTCCAAGTAAATAACAATTTTTTTGTTTATTGTGAATTTGCACAAACTTAAGTTCATTCCTAGTAACGAACCACATGTTTGTCCAGAATTATGTATGTTTGACCAAAATTTATTTTTCACAGACATGCAGGTAAAGAACACAACGTGCATTTGATTGAATTAATAATTAGACTTTTCATATGAATCTTGGACTTCGTTCTCGTTAGTTAGCTGCTTATGCATTCATCGAAACAATCCAGTATGTATTACAATACTTACGTTGCCATGACAACGTACTGCGAGAAGGTTTAATAGACTGACATATCTCTCAAGACTTCATGCTTAATGAGGGGTTAATCATTCATCTTGCAAAGAGGATATTGGTCGACAGTTTGAGACAGAGAGAGCATATGCTTTGATACAATGCCCCATAAAAGGCTTCATCAAAAAGCAACCTTAGGTCATCCGTTTGTCATAAATAAAGCGTCTGGAAAAATATCTGCTCTTTGATGTTTGATTTAATATCAAAATGTTTGAAAGAAGGTTAATTTACATGACATAATGACCTAGAAAACGTGATGACCTGATTAAAAATATCAGGCGAGATTGAAAAGGTATTTCATGGAAGGGCTTGGCTATCTTTGATTAAAAATATGTTATATGTTTGCACTTCGTTTGACATTTTTATACTTGTTCCTAGTTCATTCTAGCAGTAATAAGATTATTCTGATATATTTTATACCAAACCTTTGGTATTTCATATGAGGTAATGATTTTGTTTAAGGCAACTTCTTCAATACCTCGGACTTTCATTAATTATTCGCCTTTATTTGTTTCTGTCATTTGTATTTTAATACACTTTCTCTTGCTACAACTGTACATTTTTGCAATCATTCAAAGAGCACATGTTACTATTCTTCCACACAGATTAAAAGTTCACCTACCTGTTTTCGTAAAGCGGATAATGAAACCTTCAAAGTCAGAACTTACGCAGTTACCTTAAACCCGTGCGTAACTGACTATTTTCGCGGAATTTCAATCAGATGACGATGTTTCATTCTGACAAAATGTCATACGAAGTTGTTGATTTTGACATGTAGTTTTATTTTATTGCTCGAAAACTCGGGCAACAATCCTTCTTGAGACGGTGCACGGCTCATACATCTCCTTTTTTATGGTCAAAATTACTTTGGTAAAGCTTCGTTGAAGAACCTTAATTATTACTATTCCTAATTAAAATGATAACAAAAAGATAGAAACGGATATTAATGTATCTGATAGGGATTCATTAAGTCGATTAGAACAACCCTTCCACACGATTTTTTTTTATCCATAACAACAAAGAATTAATAATGCGGAATTATCATTTTATGTACAAAGCAATTCATTTACCCTACGTTACTTTTGCACGAAATATGTTTATTACAACAAAACATTAAAAAAATTATACAAAGCGTTACCGTGGCTTTTAACAGTTGTTTATCAGCTCTAAATAACAAATGGAATATTTCGCTAAAAATGAAATTCAATTTCACTTGATGAAAAGGCAAAGCAAATAAGTTTCACTCTGCCCTGTTATAAATGGTAAAAAAATGCATTAACTTTTCTACTGACCGACGTACCTTTTAGGCAGAGGAAACGAACAATGAATTAATAAAATTTATTATATCACTGCACATTTGTAACGTCGCTTTTTATTGGATAATCTTGATGTTTATATTATAAGTTAAAAAGATTTTGACAGGTCAATGGCCATATATAAACGGTTGTTTGTAAACATAACCCGATTCGCTAGGCGATGGTTATATAGCTAACGACAGGTTATATACGGTCATATAACCTGTCAAGAATATTCATAACGAATTTATAATACTGCAAACTTACTTTTTTGGAAAAAAAAGTGAGATTTCTGTATTCGTTGACAGCAGTCAATAAATATAAAACTATATAACGTCACAATCGTCCAATGAAAAACTTACAAACTTGCAGTATTATAAAGTTTTATATACACGGCTACTGTCAATTTATCAAGAAATCTCACTTTTTCCTCTAATAGACGATGCTTGCTGTATTGTATATTTATGAATATATAAACGGTTGTTTGCAATATAACCCTCGCCTAGCGGCTAGGATTATATTTGCAGACCTATCAAAAATCTTTATAACTAATAATGTAACCCTGCGTATTCAATCTTTATTTTAAAAATGAGCTGTTTCCAGCAAAATATATACGTGTCATATCACTGTTTGGTAAGCCAACTATGTATTTTGTAAACGGCGAATCATAAGCGGATCTGGTTTTAGGAAAACGCATTTCAAAAACGCATGAACATTTCAAAACAAGACAATATGCCGACAACCTCTACCAATCGTTCTGGCCAGGCCTGTCACGGGCGTACGAATATTGAACTAATTCAATATAGATCGTGCATTTTAGTATATCAATTTTGAAAGCAATAATTGTCAGTGCTATTTATTACCTTTAAATAATTTAATATAACTTGATTAATAATGAAATGACATTATATCAAACTAAGACCATAAAGAAAATGAGGTATTATGTAAGAATACTTCAGCTTTTATACACATACAAAATACCGCCAAACAGTCACCCAGTGTGAATGCTAACATTTCCTAAAGATATAAGCTCCCTTTAAGCTTTAATACTTTGCTGGTTTCAATTTCTTTCAGTGCTTATTTGCTGATTTTAAATATCATTGTTGCTCTTGATTGATCTCCTTGTTAAGAATTTGTAAACTAACAAAATCATGAAATTAAAGTTATGATACGGCTGTAAAGAATAATAAAGTACTGTATGTTAATGCTGTTATGGACAATTTTGAAGCAGGTGGTTATATACGCGGATTTTATTGTATTAACCATTTCGTTTGTGCCCCCTCAGTTTAAAAATGTGTTTTATTAGTTGAAGTATATGATAACCGTCATCATACCAGTATGCATTTAGCATAATTTACTATTGACCAAGTGGTTTTTTTTCCGGTGATAAAGCACTGTCTTTCCAGAAAATCATGAGCCAGCCAAAAATATCATGTTTCTAGGAATCTAAGCCTAGACAAAATAGAAGTATTGGAAGAGACCTTATGAACTGAAAATAGCCGATATCTGTTATATATGGGAAAAGCAGTAGAGCGGCAGATATGACTTCCGAAACATCGACTCCTTAAAAACAAGTATCTCTCAATGAAATGTTCTTTTTGTAAGTCGCACGAGGTTTAGTAGCAAACTGGACTGGCTTATTAGATGGCAGATAGGTAAGATATTATAGTTCGTGTTGTTATATCTTAATTAAATGAAGTTTTTGCGCATATTCAAACTGTTCACAATAAATAAAATTTACAAAAAAGACGATTTTGTTTTTTACGGAAAAAATATATGATTTTTATCATTTTTCTTACGGTATAAATGATATTAATTAAATGTTTGTGATACATTTTAGGGTGATTTTAAAGTGCATATTATTGTCTTTTCATAATATGTATTTTAATCATAACATTGTGAAATGAAATCCAGTTTAAGTTGAGAAAATATTTATTTTTTTCAAATACAAAATACATGTTGTTACAAAGCTATTGAAGATTGGTTTATTGAATGTTTGATTGGTCGATTGATTGATCTTATTTAAAAAGTTGTGTGCTGGGATTGAAACAATTTTGATATTATGCTTTTACTTTTTGATCATGTAATGACAATTTTAATAACAAAGTAAATATACTTGTCCGATTCTCGCAGAACTTTTGTTTTCTTATAATCATTCCTTTTAAATATGCATAAAATATCCGACTCTCATGTTTGTCGGTGTTCAAATACTTGTTTATAATTTGTTTAATTTATTTGCATATATTTAAAGGGTCTTGTCGCGTTTTCACGGATTTAAATATACATGATTTTAATATTAGTTAAGGCAATTTTTAAATGTCACGGACTTACCACTTGAAAAATTAATATTATTTTATGTTAAAGTAGTTAAAGAATAATTTTTATAGCGTAATTACAAGCATTTTGTGAAGAATAAAATGTTCCCTGTACATAAACGAAGTTTTATTCTAGGAAGGAACATGTCTAATGTTAAGAACTTTCATGTATAAATAAAAGCCCTGCTAATACTGTCGTCGATTTCTTCAGTTATTAACTTATATTTACGATATAATACGATATGCGGGACTTAACAGTTATCAAACACGAACATTTGAATAATTACATGAAAAGCGATAATAACATCGTAACACCTCATTCAATCTCAACATATTATGTCATTTTCCGCACTGAAGCTTTTTTCCTATATGTGATTTTATTGAAACTCTTTCCATAGACGGTTCAAATTTTTCTTTTATAAACTTGCAATTATCCGACTTCAGTAAACTTTTCAGCTTATGAACGCTATGCTTTAATATTTGAAGTTCAAAATCATATCTGGGACATAAATATATTCAAAGATTACACATTATCTTGTTATCGCTAAAACTGCACAGGAAATACTGGACACTGGACACGTTGATACTAAGTAAAAGAGACTTGGTGTTTACTTTTAGACTTTACGCTACTTTTCATAGAAACACACGAAACTGTAACATTAAAAGGCCTATTGATTACCGCGGTATTAAAACATTTGCCTTGCGGATGTACTTAATTTAAAATTGCCCACAGATCGGTTTATTAAAAAAAAAAAATTTTCAGCAAATGCAAGAGCTCGCGGATTGTAGCATGTATTTAGCAATGCCGTCCAGATTTGACAGAAAACAATAAAATGATAAAATACAAGATATCTTCTATTCACAAAAGGTAGAATAATATTTGTTACTGTTGATGACAAGCATATTTGCCTTTTTAATTAAAAGTCAAGAAAAAACTTATCTCTCATAAAATGGAAATGTCTACGTTTTCGTATTAAATACAACAAAAGATAGAAACGTTAAATGGCTCTTTATGTCTTTGAAAGGAATAAAATCGTCTTTGATCCTTAGCAGTTTTTGAACACCACCTTAATTGCTGTGTATAGTAATAAGGCTATTTTGCATACAGTTTCCTGAAGTGCATCTACCTGTTTACAGACTTTATAGATAGCAAAAAACCATGATTGCTAAAGTTATGTAACGTATTTGTCTAATTTAAACAACTGCAATAAAGAATTATTTTAAGCAGGTCACTAACATGCAAAACAGCTTTTTGTATGCTCTAGAGAAAATTGTCTTTACTAATTACTATTGTAATCTGTAATTATTTTGCAACTTAATTATGTTAGACACAATTTGCCCGATTATGGAAATATCATGTTACAAATCGATCTGAAAATAGGCTCAGTCGTGTAATATGATATAATATGACGAAATATATGACATAATAGGCAAAATATAACTAAATTTAGAGTTGATATTTTAAGCATATTTGACAATAATTTCATGTTTTTCATCTACATGCAATTTTGAAGGACATTTAATGGTTGAAATTGACAGCCGAAAAATAAGAACTTTCAAAAGTAACATTATTAAACGCAATTACACTTTCCTACGCTTGTAAAACATAAGCAATAATCCTAAAATCCGGATATAATTCATCTTAAAGGTAATGAAATATGGTATACTTTTCATTTCTTTTCTTCGACGGACAAACTCAATCAAAACGAAATACCGATTATTTCATTTACTTAGTTTGTGTTCACTGTCCTCTAAAGATATTTCCTTCTTGTAAAAAATCTTTTGCCGTAGATATCATAAAAAATCTTGTGTTTACCCATTTTTGCTTTAGAAATTACAAATTTAAATATGTCGTTGATAAGATCAGAATTTGAGGCTTTGTTTTAGTTCTGTTTTAAATTTAAATCTTAGGCCCCATTATGCTGAAAAAATGTCCGATAACAAGTACATCAATTCATACGTAAACAATACGTAATTAGTGCTTACAAACAATTGCTTGTCTTTTTCAATGAATACCACTATGATTATATTTTCTGGAGAAAAAAAAACCCGCACTATTATCACATATTTGCATACTTATTGAAAGGAACAATATTCAGAATATCATGAAATAAAATCGATACTAATTAAGAGTAGACTAACTGTGTCGTTCCTCTGATTTTGTAAAGGAAACAATAACGAAACAAATTTCTATAACTTCACCGTTTGTAATTCAGCTTTGTGTTTTGAAAAAATAATCATTCACGAATACAAATATATTGCTGTTTTGAAAAACGTATATTATTTCATTGTTCTTGATAAATCAACTGTTTTGCTGGAAAAAAATACTTGTTTATATCTCATGAACCAACTAAACTAAGTCTCACCTGCTTTTGAAGTTGGTTTTGGTAAAATTGCTGATTTTTAGATCACAATTGTTTCCGAAAATATCACATTTTTTTTAGATCCAATGCAAAGTCATAGAATGATTCTAATTGAATTCCATGGTACCCTCATCTTACCAAACGATGTGTAACACTACATGGAGACATTGTAAATACAAATGTGGTTAAAACAATTTATAAGCACAATATAATTTAGAAAATTATGCAATCCTTTTTATATTTTTGTATTTAAGCAATCAGATCCTGTGTCATTATAAAAAGTTCCGAAAAGTAAAATTGAAATAAATATTTGAACTCAGAGTTGTTTATATATTTTTCTTATATGATTCTCTCTTATGATTGTTCAGCGCAGCATTTTAGACGTCTGTTGGATTTCTAATGATTTTCTTTCTTTTCATACGGGTAACGCCGTAATACAAAAGACATGAAGATAAAATCAAAGTATGTCCAGTTAAATAATAGATTAACCGAGTGGTGTTCGTGAAAAACATGCTTCGTAACATATATTTGTGTCTCTATTACTTTTCCATCAAATATGCACTTATTTCTTTTGACTGAAGCATGTACACACGAATGCCAAGTGTTTAAATTTCATCCTCATTGCCTCAAATAGGTAACATAACATTTCATTCTTTTCAAACCAATCATGCAAGTGGGGTTTAGGTAAAGTAGAAGTGATTAACGAAGTTATGAATCAGAACTCTGTCATTTTTTACAGTTTGAATGTAAATAAATCTGTATTATTTATATTCGTTTTATACTCTTCATATATAAAGCATTCTCGCTGATTGGCTCATTTTTTCCTGAGATTTACTTAATATGACAACAGGGGAAGGGATAACTATAGAAAAGTCATATTCAGATGCTCGTACTTTGGTTTCCTTTTACTTGGGTTTCATACTCTGACGACAGAGAACGTGTTTTTTGGTTTTTGTCTATGATACACAAGAGAAATAGCATCAATACACGTGACAAAGTGATTAGATAGCCTCGTGTTTAGATGCTCTTTCTATTACATATATTATATGAATTAAGGACGGGTATCAATCTCCATAGCTTTAACAGTACCTCATCGATGAATAAATAGAAATAGAGACAATGCAATTCATGTGTATACATACTTTTACAAACAATACATTTGCACGACATATCAACATATGAAAATACATGGTAACATAAAATAAAATCTTCATGAATGTACTGGCATGCAAGTAGTTTCCGTGCCAAAGCTGTATCATTTTGTTGCGTATGAACTGGTTTACTGATTATATCATTCAGTAAGTATTAATTATTATACATATTATATATCAAAAGGACTTTTTTGACATTTAATACCTTAAAGCTATAACAAGCCAAGCTCTATTTTCTCTTACGAAAAAATGATGAAATATAGTTGCGGTTATCTTGTAATTATGTTGTAAATGGGTTGTAACAAATAAAACGCCTACGGAAGCAGACAAGATCACGTGACCATTCTGGAAAAAATTAATGTCATTAATGCATAAAAATTTGAATCACTCTGGACTTACTCAGAAAATGTAATGACATAACTCATAGTATCTGCACCTTTCCCTTCTTCGAGAAAAGGTTAAATACTAAATCATTACATTTTTATTTAGTCTTAAGTACACTTCATTAATACAAATCCTATTTCATTATTTTCTTTTAGTTAAGGTAATTAAGAAAACCAGACCACTGTCTGCTAATTAGATATAGAAATGAGCCGCGTCACGACAAAACCAACATAATGGGTTTGCGACCAGCATGGATCCAGACCAGCCTGCGCATCCGCGCAGTCTGATCAGGATCCATGCTGTTCGCTTACCAACCCTTTTTCAAGCGGTCGCAAACCCATTATGTTGGTTTTGTCGTGACACGGCTCAAATTATTTCCGCGACAAAATCGAGTCCTCTAAGATATTGCAATGCCTTGACTAGACAGTTTAACATTCAGTAC